GGGGATGGTTTCTAAATCACAAACCAAGCTATGATTTAAAACACCAAAGATGAACCAAAGAGAACACTGGTAATGACGTTCATAGACGGAAAGAGACATAAAGAATATTTTGGTATTTTGTTTATTCGTATGCCTAAATATGCGGGTTTTTCAGAGTCCGTAGGTTGTACTTTCGCTTAGGAGTATAACACGCCATTCAAGTATACAGACTTTGAGCTCTCTGTACGTTAATAATAAAATTTCTCCGTGACAGGTTATCTTAATGCCTTTAGGGAGGACTCGAAAGTTACAACCCTCACTTTTAAGACTAAAAATCCGTTAACAAAGCAATAGTAAAGGAGTAAAATGCGATTTCTGAACGTGATTTTAGATCGGAAACTCAGTAGAAATTACAGAGAAGCTTACCAACTGATTGCACAATTTCTTTGCTAGATTGACAGATTTGGCCTTAAAAAGCGTATAAAATTAAGGATGTATACAAAATCTTCAGCGAAAAAGGTGTTTGAATGTGTAGGGACTGTTCTAACAGAAACATTTTTTACTGGAATTATGGATCTTTACTAAACACTTTAAATAATTTTTGGAATCCCGACGTAAAATAATGCAAATTATTGCATAATAATCACATGCATAAAAATATGCAATTTAGGCACATTCAAATACGTGAAGCTGTGGTTTACAAACTGACAGTGTGTTCGTTTAGATTGATCCTACTAAAGGCGTAAAACTCAACGTTAATCGCTGCAATGGCTCTCGGAAAGCGTCCTTCGGTGCGTCCTCGACACATAACGTGCTTGTTTGTTGTTACTGTTTCTTGCATGTGAATTAACCATCTTATGTTCATTTTATGGAAACAGATTAGATAGCATCCCCGGAACATCCTCTAGTTAATCTTTATACAGCAAAATAGGCTTATGTTCTACGCATTGGCGTTCAAATGCACGTGGAATTGTGGTCCAACTTGATTGTCTACTACCGTCTTCTGACTTCCTGTATGAACTATTGGTAAATTAGCTAATAAGTGGTTGAAACCCCCCCCCATTGACTTAGCTTCATGCGTCGTTATTTTATATTTGTCTCAAGTTACGTAACCTAGCCACAGGAGTACAAATGCTTTGTGAGTTCTACTTTAATATTGATGTGGGTTATTTAAGATCAGTATGGTTTATAAAACCAATATTTTTGTTCTGCGTTCAGATTCGCCTTCCTCCAGAGGTAAATCGAATTCTACTCGTAAAAAATCTCCCTTACAACATATCCGCAGAGGATATGTATGACATCTTTGGTAAATACGGCGCAATTCGTCAAATTCGAGTTGGGAACACGCCAGAAACCAAAGGTACTGCATTGGTAGTCTACGAGGACATTTTCGATGCGAAAAATGCTTGTGATCACCTCAGCGGTTTCAATGTGTGCAATCGGTACTTGGTTGTACTCTACTATCAGAGAAACAAGGTGGGGTTTCGGATGCCTTCTTTTCTTGAAATATTGCAATATCCTTTATTTCCAATGTCTATGGTCCGCTGTTCTGCTTGGCTTCAAGGCAAACATCATGGATGAAATGCATCGTAGATTGCATAAGCATTGCAGCATATTTCCTGACTTATTCACTCTATTTCCTGGTTGTCTCATCCTTCCTTTACTCAGGGGAGTTTTGCTGTGCGCATATATATTTATTCTATGTGTGGATACAGGTGAAATTTTATCCTAGACACACGATGAAGTTGGGTTTTGGACTTGTTCAATTAATAGCCGCTGTATCCGAGGGACTGATATACAAGTTTGGGGTGTTTTCAAATAATAGGTTGCAAGCCGCTCTCACATTGAAGTTCGTCGCAAAACTGGTAACGGTGTGATCTCACTTTATACGCGGTATTTTTGGCAACAATTTGATGCTGCACTAATTTGCAGATTTTTGACTGCTCTATTTCGAATTCCCGAACAAGTCATTTTAAATTCCTTTTGGTATACTTTTGTTTATTGATATCTTCAAATAATTTGACTACCTTTTGTAAATTGAGTACCTTAATAATCATCCTAGCACAGTCTATCCAATCCGTTCTGGTGGATTATTTCTACTTACTGATAAGTTAAAGGTAGGGCGTATCAGAGACTTCCAAAAGGACTATTCCTTTATAAATCCCAATTTTGTAGACTTACTTGAAAGTTAACTTAAGTAAGTCAAAGTAGGCCATGACTCATTGAAAGATGCAAAATTCTTATTAATGTCTTTCAAATCTATCTTACCAATGAGCTTTGTTTGAAATTCTATTCATTGCTGTGTTTTGTTATTCAAAATTGTACAACTTCTCACTTGTTACTTTGCAGCACTCGAATGGTTTAAGACTTGTGTTTAATCTTTGAAAACGCGTTAACACTTGATAAATAGGTTAGACAAATAGCACCTTTCGGGTGGCCTCTCGTGCGTGTTTCTAAAACGAAAGAGCACTTCCCTGTTCCGAGTACACCAAAATTTCATTTACTCATAAGGCAATTTGAACTTCAGTACCTCTCTTAGGCACCAGACTGAATCGCCACGTCATAGTTGCTAGCATGCACTTGCCACCTTTTGTCAGATTGCTAGAAACTTCGTCATCTTTTTTTGATGGAGTGGTTTTAATTGAACCGTGAAAACAGCTAATGGAACTTGTTATCAGTCACATCACCAGATTGAAGGTCTACCACTCAAAATAATTGTCTGCGATTTATCCGACCCCCGTTAATTGGTTAGTTACATAATTTGATGTATTCTTCAGAAGGTTGCTGAGTAATCATAGATAAAGTGAATCGTCTATTTATGGCACTGGAGGTAATCATCCATTATGGCCTTCTTGCAGGCAGTCTAACCTTTTAAGATCGCATCACGTAGAGAGGTGCTCGTGCACACGCATGCACACTCGTAAGCCTCTAGAAGTCTCGTGTTTTACAATTAAAATCATAACTTGTGCTCAGATGAAAACTGGGATAAGTCCTTTACCCATTCAGAGTCACATGCCACCCCCATTTCGTTTTTGGTTTTGTTGAGTTTGATGGGTGCTCAAGTTCTGCTGAGCGTTTCTACTTCTGACATTCTCGACCTTCTCTCAGTCGTTAAGGTGTGCGAAAATTTGGAGTCCCCTTACTGTTTTTACTCTTTGAAGAAATGTGAACGATTAATGTCTAATGTCTTAGCCTTAGAATAGATGAAGGAAATTAAGGGACTCAGGTCCGAAATTAGCTTTACTGTGGGTTTACAGAAAGTCTGTGAGTCTGGTGGCAAATCCTTGTGGCGCCAATGCAAAGGCCGATTTGCGTTGAGGACTACTTTCTCGTAAATTTAAATTTGACCGTTCTAATTCAATTTTTTACTGCAGCAATTCAAGAAGGCCGACGTGGACAAGAAACGCGAGACCCTTGATCACCTCAAGGCCAAATACGGTCTGAATACTCCGCGACCGAAGTGACTAGTGGGCATTTTGCGCTGTACAGTTTTTGGACAGTTTTACTTAAGTAAATGATTGCTTTTGTTTTTGTGACCTTTTACATTTGGGCAAGCGGATGCGCGGCTTTCAATGGCATTGGCTTTGTTGCAGTTTGCTTGCGAATCAATCCACCTTTATACCCGTTCTCATTCTGCTGTTGAGTTACTTTCATGGTTTTTTTTTCTAATTTTTTGGGTAAATTTCTACTTTTCGGCTTCTAACCCACTTTAAATTGTGATTGTCGAGTGGTACAAAGATAGGCATGCTAGTGAATGCAGCGGTAGCCAGTTTAATGAAAATTTGCTTCAAAAGTACGAATATGTGAGGTCACATTCCAACCAAGTAGAATTGCACGGGAACGCAATGGCTGTGCCTAAGATTACCCGTTTTCTACCTGAATCTGAAAGTTAGCAGATCCTAGGCGACGGATCCGATCCTTCGGCAAGTTAGGGAATTGCTTTGAGGCGACTCCAAACTAGAGTCAGGCCTGGCTACTTTCAGATCTGATAGAGTTTCAATGGCAAAGAAGGCTGTTTGAAGTGACTTGGTCTTTGGTAGCCACTAATTCTTCCTTTAAATTACCTTCCCTCAAAGGTTGAGCCCTCTAGGATAAAGCATCGACTCGCGTATAGCACGATAAGATGGCAAGGTGTAGAACACTTCATCCAAAAGTACACACACCCGGCAGGCAAACTTTATTGCCTACTTGGAGTAACTTGTGAAAAAAAAATCCAGATCGCCGTTTTTCGCGCAAATATAGTACTGCGCATTTAATCGAATTTGTTCTCTCTCCCTCATCTGTAATATTACCGCTTTAATTAAAATAGACACAATTTTCATTCTCCAATGCCTCGTGAAACAACTATCATTGCCTGTGCGGCAAGCCCCTTTATCCGCTTTCACGCATGTGCGAGTGTTGCGGATTATATTACATTTGCGGCCTTGTCATTGTCGCAGCTGGGGTGGCATGAGTTCACTTGCCACCACAACGCCTACAAGAGCCTGACGAGGTGAGGTGAATCATCGCCTCGTGCCTCAAAGGCACCCGAATTCATCACGCTCCCCCGCCTTTATAGCACTTAAATCAGAGGAACTGAAAATTTACCGCTTTTTCGTGGGTCGAGTACAGAGTGACGATTGTTTTCCAATCAACTGGTCCTCATAACTGAATGTAGGGTTTTTCTGAATCCGAAAGAAGCCACAATACTCGGACAGGAAATGTGGTGCTGACATACAGAAGGGCTGGGGGGAGGTAGCTACTACTATGACTCGGAGGTTATGCCACTCAGCCGAGCCTTCAGTGACCGCAAAACCAAAACGAAGATTTGAACAACCAAGGTATTACACTACTTCTGACTGGATGGTACTTTCTAATACCCCATTTAGGTACACTTTACCTTCATCAGCTTCCAACACTTCACTCCCTGAATGTTCACTGCTTCTGCGGTTAAAGGGGTAGCGGGAGGTTGTTTGGTGCCCCAATAAGTAGGCGGGTAGAGCTTATTGCCGAGCAAAGTACTAATCCGTGGCACTAGCAGTAAATAGCGGAATCAGCAGACGCGCATCACAACAAATTTCAGTTGAGACTCTGCCTACGTACACCACCACAGCAGCTACGCGCGTTTGATTGGCACGCCCCAAAATCGATGCCAGTCGCCGTGGCACACACACACGCCTCGCCTAGACAACGGTCCCCTCGACTACTTGAGGGGACTGCCAACTGCTCATGGGTGTCAGTTTGACACGGGCGCAATACCCGTTATCAATTAGTTGATGCGTCAGCTCAAGTAAGAGAAGAGCTTGATGAGATTGCACCGTTTCGTTGGCAGGCCTCTTTTCTTCCCACCTGTGCATACACGCACACACACAAGCCCGGCTGCCAAAAGGCACTTTGTGAGTAGACTCACGGTGATGTCTCACCCACCCCTCCATCTGCTTGCGTCACCATGATTACCACCTATTCCTACGTGACTCTATCTCCAGTTTACTGGCACTTCAATGAAGCAAGCCTCGAAGTTCTTAGCCTCTGGAACGCTGGAATATCCGGATTAGGGGAAAGAACAATTTGTTACTGAGCAAAAAAACGAGTAACTTTATAATATGACAAAGTTCTTGTGTCCGTATTTATTTTTTTAAGTCTCATCTCAAACCGATCGCAATGCCGGATTTTTGTCTAGGATTAGGGGAAGGTCATTTGTATTGACACCACCGTTACAAGTCTTGGAGCTTGCAAAGGGAGAGGGGCGACAAGAGCACACCGAAAGCGCGATTGCGGGAAAAAAGTCAAGGAAAGACGAGTGCAAGGCAGTCAGGTAGAAGAATAAGAAGAAGGAAAGGCGACTTAATACACGACAATACATACACATATATTTCTCATATGCTAGAAAAATACTGATTTGGAGATGCGATTTAAGAGGGGAACAGCAGAAAGCCAGCGTCTAGTGGCGTTACTCAATTAGCAGAATACATCAAAAAGGAAAAAAAAAATGGGAATAAGGGAAAAAAAAAACAAAATGACAAGTCATATAAGTCTAAAAGTTAAGAGAAGGGGGTGGGGGAGAGAATGAGAACTTTAGGGGGCACTCATATCCCACAGTGCTCTTCTCGAATGCGAGGTGTTCAGCTCGCCTGAAAAGGAAGATGGAATTACGCTGAGACTGTGGTGTCTTCCGTGATCCGTTTTTCAACAACAAATGGCATGCATGCGGTTGGAGGTCACAACTCCGGCTGTAAGTGTAGTAAAAATGAGGATTTTAGACAAACCTGTGCGGTGCCAAACTTGTTCGCCAACCGAGCTATCTCCGTGGCCGGATCGGCACCGTTGGAGGAGACCTGAGAGGCGTTCCAGGTGTCGTCCAGCTTACGACGTGATGCTGGCTTCAGCCCGTTGGAGTTGCCCTCACGCATTGCCTTCATGCGCTCCTGCAACTCCCTATTCATCGTCTCCATGTGGGGTGCTAGCGAATTATAAAAGAGCATTCATAAGCCCAAGCTGCTCCGGATGGTGGATATGGTCAGCGGTCACCCGGTTAGGCTTGAAAATAATACGGTTGCGAAAGCGTAATCCGAGTAGCATCCTTCTCACCATCAGGCATTTAACAAATCCAAATTGCGTGATCGTTTTTAACGACTAAGCAACTGCTTCACATGATGCCTCTTCACTAAAGTCAACTTTGGATGAGATCTGATTCAACAATGTCAAGAAACTTTTAAAGCATGACGATTAGGCACAAAGTGGGTTAGCCACAGCAATTGTTAAAATGGTTGCGCACAGCAAACCGAAAGCAAAACAAGTGGAAGTTGAAGTAAAGGCAACAGTTTCTTGACTTACGCGGTCTATGGCCTTGAAAAAAAGCGTGAAAGGAAAAACGAAAAAAAGAGGGTGTCAATTTATAGGGGGCAAATTGGCATTGGCTAGGCGGAAATAACAAAGTTGAGAGTGTTATTAGGGAGACAGGGGACCTAAATAGGAAGCTTGGAGGAAATACACTTCGCCAACCCCAACCCTTCACCACCTTAGAGCACCACCCTGTCACCTCTCCCCCACAAACCACCCACACACACGGAGCCTCTCTCCTGTTTGCGACGCCAATTAAAGGTAGAGCAGGGTGTCTGCACCTCTTGTCTGCCTCGATCCTACCAAAAGTCAGAGTTGTTATTAAGCAACAAAGAAATGTGATTTATTTGAAGGTCATTCGAGGAGGGGATATGGAGGGGGGTGTAGGAATTGACAGGGGAATGGGAGGATTGCAGTGGATGGCTGGATGGATGGATAGGTGACGTCTTTGGGGATGTCCAAAAGGAACACTTGAAGAGGCTTAGAGTAGCGGGCAGTAGTTCAGACGGCTATTTAATTGCAAAATGAGTATCCATAAGCAATTATGTGCATGTCCACGGTTTAGCTCAATAGAATGGCATACCTATTACCACGAGGCGACGCAATCAGAGAGAGAAGGAAGAAATGGGGAAAGGAGAGTTGAGGGAGGGGAGAGGGAAGGGAAGACAAAATACACACTATCAAGATGGTTTTTTCGATTTTATTTCATCCTATCACTACTCTTTAAGCAAAACAACAATCCTATGTCTACTTTAAGTGGAAACTTTTAAAAATTTTGCAATTCTCCACTTACCAGGCATCTGAGACAAAAACCTTTGCTTGCGAACGGTTTGATTAACAACATCTAAAAGAGAGAGATGGAAGGGAGCACAGGTAAACATGAGTTTACTTGTCAGAAAAAAAGGGCAACCAAAGAAACATGTCGGTTAAACAAATAAAGTGGTTTTTAACTCCAGAGATGACCTAAGCCGAAATGTATGGTATCTTGTTAAAGGCGTGTTAAAGTAACGTGAGTTATTTTAGCTTCGACATAAAGGCTAGTGTTCGTACCTTTTATAGCTCACCCCACCTAGTCAACCAATAAGAGTTGCTTAATTCACTTAGTCCCTGCTTTCTCACTGTTCAGAGGGAATATTAAAGGTAGTTCAATATAACTCCCGCCTACCATAAGTGTCTTCCTTGGGCGGAGGTGGTGGCGGTGGCGGAGCCTGTGGAATATTTGACTTCTTTGACTTGGCGTGCTTCTTACCCTTTGAGCGCCCTTTTGTTCCATCTGAACTGGAAGAGCTGCTTCGACTAGAGCTGCTACTGCTGCTACTACTACTACTACTGCTGCCTCTGCCACTCTTTGACCGATCACCCTTCTTCTTCCTCCTCCCATTGCCCCTCTGTTTGTGTCGCGGGCTCCTTCTAGGTGAAGGCGATGAGGGTCTTCGTCCAAACCCTCCTTCGAAATTTGTGTAGCCATCATAGAAGGGATCCATGGGAGCTGGTGTTCCACGTGAAAGTGGGCCGTAGATTCCATAGGATCCCATGTTAGGCTGCATCATAGGCGGTGGCATCATAGTTGGTGCCATCGTAGGCGGTGGCATCATAGTTGGTGCCATCGTAGGCGGTGCCATCATAGGCGCCTGGATCATCGGTTGTTGCATAGGATAAGGCACGGGAACAATGAGCGGCTGTGGCGCTGGTGGAGGTGGTGGTGGAGCTGGGGCCGGTGGAGTCACCAAATAGTGCACAGGAGGGGGCCTAGGAGGAGCCGGTTGACTGGGCGCCGAGGGAACCACAATGACCGATGGTTGACCATTTGTACCCTGATGAATGATTGGCTGGCCAGTGGGACGCTGTTGCAAAGGCTGTACGTTCATTGGTTGATACTGCTGACCCGTAGCTACAGCCATGGATTCTTGTCTCGGAGGTGACATAGAGTGGTGATGATGGTGGCAGGAATGGACTCCGCCGTCACAACAGGAAACGCAAGAGTGGTGCCTTATTGTGCGACTAGGAGTACTTTGACGCACGTAGTCTCCGCCATCGTAATTTTCATCCGTACTGGTGGTTTCAGAGATATCAATATCAGGTTCCTGAGGAGCTTTTTTGAACTTGCGTGACGTTGCGCTGCTACGCTTAGAAATGGATATTTTCTTCTCCCGTGGCGACTTGGAGCGATCATGGGGAAGTAAACGTCTACTGGGTCCTGCCATATTCTCCTCAAGGACCTCAATGCATCGACGTGGAACGTGGCCTGTTTGTCCGGTTGGCGTACGCAAACAGCACCACTCACTACTGTCATCCAAGACCTATGAACAGAAGGGAGTACATCATTTTACGCCTCTTAAAATGAACATCCAGGCAAGGAAAATGCGCGAGACGCAACTGGAGTAATAAGAATATTTATTTACAAAGTACAACATGCCTTGTTGAAGTGTAGGCGAAAGATACCAAAACAAAATTACCTCAAGAATATCACCGACATTAACGCTGAGTTCCCTAGCCGCTTCACTCACGTTCTTCTGTTTTGCGATGACAAGTCTAAAGGGGGGAGAGAAAATTATCATGGTGAACGGAAACAAACCCAACTTACGTTCCACCACGAGCACGAACGCCGCTGATGAAGCTCTCAATGTCGATTTTCTCCTCCCCCTCCTTCTTCTGCGGTGTAGCATTCACTGCCGCTAAAAGAAGCCTCAGAGTTGGCATTTTTTTTCTTTTCTGATCGAAAAAGTCCCACTCCATTTATTGCTATATTAGGCCGCAAATTGGTTAAAATGAGAACCCTCACCGAACTGAGATGATTATAACCCATCACCACGTGAACGATTCGCACAAAAATGTTGGAATTTCAATTTCTCACATTGTATTTATTGAACTGCTACGAATACCATCTCTACCAGACCGGCGCATATGAAATGCTTTAGCACTTTCTCTCTCGCTCTATCTATGGTGCTTTTCCAATGGTAGCGGCAGGAGCACCAGCGGCGGTGACCGTGCTCGGTTTCTGGTGCCAGATTGCATTAGAGAGAGAGCGAGGGAGAGAATAGGCTTGTGAAAACGCAGTACTGTGCAATTTGGCAAGAGAGGAAGGCAAGAAGGTAAGCAGGCTCCTTAAACGGCACGTCCAGTGTGCCAGAAGTAAGGCGCATCAAATCTTGTCATGTGTAATCTACAAGACAGGGCTAATGTGTCCACAACAATTCAAATATTTCACCATCTTTATTCAAAACGTGGTTATCCTAATAGTAAAGTGTGATGTTACTGGTAGTTTAAATGTTGTCTTAGCGGTTTTTTAATGACACATGTCACATTGAGTGAGTGAAATGCTTCCAACCACCCCATTATATTTCAAAGAGGAAGTCGCAGTTCCCGTGATTGATAGATTGAGGAAATGCTTAACGGTAAGCAGAGAGTAAAATGTGTCATCATGATGGACAGTTCCTATTATTATGATCAGGAGGCGCACAACCACTGCCTCTTAAATATGGCACGAAGAGATGAACCTCTCTTGCTGTACCAGAACAACAAATTAACGAGTGAATTGCCTGCTTGTTAGTTAATAACAACAGGTCACATTAAGCACAGCTAATGTCAATTTAAATCATGAGACTTCTAGCCCAGGCTCGCTTTCGCAATTGTGCAGATTTGAATAACAATTTTGGCATTTAGGTTTAACCTGTGACAGAGCTGCTTCACCGTGGCGACTGAGTTGTGACAATTTAGTGCAGATGAGAGTGATGCGGATGGACAATATCTGCAGATTCTCAGCAGATTTAGTTTGTTTTTGCAGCTTTGAAGATAACTGTTTCCGCCTCTAGACTATAAAGTCACCTCACTCGCTCTCAGGGGTTATGTTAGCCACCATAAATACCACCATGGTCTCGAAAGACGTTATCTACCCCATCCACGGCAAAACAGTATTTAGGGGTTAAAAGGCGGATCTTTCGATTACTCCGATCCAAACTTACCAGGCATGGGCTCTAAAATGAGGACAAAAGAATTGAAGGAAATATTTCCCGCAAAATTTTTTGATGATAGAGGAAAGCAATAAACGACATTTTAATACAGATTGACTAAAAAAAGCGTATCGAGACAAACGCACTGTAGTAGCCATAGTCCTTAATTGTCATCTCCGGTTTGAAACCCTAGAAAGGCAATGGGTAAAATTAATAAATGAATGAATTAACGTTATGGTGGGAAGAGAGGGGAAGGGAAAAGGGGGAGGGGGTCGAAAGAGAAGGGCAAGAAGTGCATGGGTCAAAAAGGAGGGGGAAAAAAAATTGAAACATCCATACAACTTACACTTCTTTCCACAGTGGTGGGTCTTGTTGAAAGAGCAAAGTCTCCGTTAACATTGTCTGGTTTGCCACTAAAATGGCAAAGACATTATATATAATTAAAAAAAGAAGCAACTGAAACCATTATCAACCAATTAAGATTAATACAACTCAAAGAGTATTTCATGTCTTCAAGTGGGTTTGCCGAAGTCTGCATAAACCTCACTCAGGGACCGGGTGGACTAGAATATATAGGTAATACATAGGTAGTACTTAAATATCTGATCCCATTAAAAGGTCTCACTAAACAAGATGTCTGATAAGCTCGGTAGCTTTGCGATGCAAGCATTGGGTGTGTCTGGAATGTGGACTGTTACAAGAGAGTACATTTGCGTAATTCCGCTTTTCTTTGTGGTTCTAGAGCAGGCCGCAAAAATTGTGCGCCCATAATACTTGCTCTCTCCTCGGCGAAACACACACCGTGACACTTCTCAAGAAAGCCATCCAGCACCTCTTGCACCACCAATTCATGGGACTTAATGAATTAGAGATCAAGCGATGGTTCTTCAGCGTACCTTACTTCTTACCGTGAAAATCACCGCCACCCGATTCAACAGACACTTCCCATAGCTTCGCGTCTTTCAGTGTTTCGTGAAGGTGCCAGTCATCAAAAGGTTCGAAAACTTCCTTCTTTTTTTACATATTATAGCGCACTCCATTTTTTAGGAGCTGTTAAAAATTGCCGATTTTACAAAAAAAGTTTGGAAAAGTTACACAAATGCAAGTAGTATTTAAAAGAGCTAAGAGATTTTCAACACATCTCCATCCCCCTAGAATAGCTAAACAGGCAAAAAAAATTCTAACCCAAGTACTTTTGCAAAAATTGGTATTTATTAAAGAATTTTCTATTAACCAAAGATAAAAATCCTCTGAACTTGGTAAAAATTAAACCAAAGTTCCCACTCATTCAGCTATTGGCGATGGGTTTGAAACCGTGCTACAATTTTCAAACGATTTTTTACCAAAAATAATAAAAAATGTGCTTTTTTATAAATCAAGCCAAAAAGATGAGGCTTGATAGAAGTTTAAATCGTTTATAGTGCTGTGAACAAGGTTACACTTGGGAAAAGGCAAGGAGAACACTCACTAACGTTGACTGTGCCTGGTTCTACTGCTCCTGCCCTTTGACTTTGCCGCAGGAGCCCTCCTCTTATGTGGCATGGTGCGGAAGGGTAGGCTAAGGAAAGTGTTCTATCACACCAAAAGTGATAAGGATAACCTGATTAACATACTTTTAATTTGTTTCTATGGTGCGCTTGCATCGCTCCTCATCACCTCGACACTGCGATTTGTCGGCTAAAGTTGTGCGAATGAATGAAGCCATGGTGGCGGCAATGGTGCAAGGCAATTCGCCTACTGCAAAGAGGATCTTTTCGACAAAATGCCGCCTTTTCTACCGCCTGCTTCTCTTTTAATTAGAAGCATATTAAGGATGGAAACCAGAGGTGACTTGGCGCTCTGCGTGGAAAGGGTGAAAAAGGGGAACTTGGTTGCAACTTGATAATGATCCCACTCCAGACAGTACAAGTCAAGACGATCCCTTTAGGTGTTCTGTCGCGACCATAAGAAAAGGAAATGATTGGCGAATTTTCGATAGCTGACCTGTACAAATTAGGCCAAAATCTCACGCTAGAATTTACTGATTTTGAAACTTGTGTGTTTAAGTTGGTTCAGACAGCCAACAAAAACATTCCCATATGTCAACCAAATTTTAAGTCGTGCGCCTCTACTGACTTGACAGATACTTAAACTCATTCGACAGCGGAAATAATTGAAGACGAATGCAGACCTTAACCTCTTGTTTTCATTGAAGAACAGGAGAAGCTAGGTAATGTAGTATGAAGTCACTTTAGACTTGGTAGCAAAAGAAAATATACTTGCTTCACCTAGAAAGAGTTTCAGTTTATCTTCAAGCTAAATGAAAGTAAAAATTTGGGGTTCTGCTTCAAATAAGTTAGAAAAATATAAGATTTATGTTTCAGCCGAAGGTAATTTGACGAAGATATCCTCCTGATCATATTGAAACCCTGGAGATCCAGATTCCAGAATTTGTCATTGACTGAAGTTAAAACTTATTCAAAGGCAGTCCAAAAGTCACTTAAATTGCCAAATAGAAACCTAGAAGGAAATTGGATTCTCAAAATCGTTCAAATTCTAATTTCGATGTTCAAAGACAAGATTCATTACAATCTTAATTTGGTTAAACCGACCTCTTGAGCTGTCATTTATTCTGATTTAAATATGTTCAGAAAGAAAGATGGCTTTAAAATCTGTTGGACTTTAATATTGTCCCCTGGAAGTCCACAAATGAATACTTGAGCCCTTGTTCCTGCCGCAGTGGAGAAGTATCCCTCATAACATGGAGGTGATTTGATAAAAGCATAGCTTCTCATTCTCCGCTACTAAATCCTAAAACCAACTGGTTTGGGCTTCACTTTAGGACCTCTATAGAACTCTCAAAGTCAATGGTCGAAATGCGGAAATACTAGAAATTTTCAAGGTCGTCCAAAGTCAAAGTATGATTTTTTAATTGATTGCAGTAACTACGACGTAAAGGTGGAACTTATGATAGCATCAAGCTAGTCAAATTCAGTTTTAAGCTCACGTTCCTATCAAGATGGCAGCATGACTTAAAAAATGTCAACTTTCAATCCTCCTTTACCTCAACCACTAAGGATGGCAAATGGAACTCACCCAGGGACGGTCCAAGCATCGCCAAGGGACTGCCAGAAGGACTTGTTACCGGCCTGAAGGTAGTCTGAGAGAGCGCTAATGGTCCTGTCGGTGAAGGCAGGTCGCCACACCGAGCGCACGAGATTGGGATCGTAGTGGATCACGCGGTTGCCATCACAGATCTTTTGCACCCACCACAGCGACTCAAAGAGACGATTAAGCAGCTCTCCTGGTCCCGGATCTTTGATGTGGTCTTTGAGATCAGCTGTTACATTGATGCAATTCCGAATGCGCTCCACATGGGCCAATGCAGCCTCGTACGAGGGCGGAGTTAGGCTGTCACGCCACAATGATCCTTTGCAAAAATACAACAAAGCGTTTTACAATTTCAAAGTAAACGGAAAAAAAGTTGAAAGAGGCATTTACTATTTTTGGGTAATTTCTTATTGGCTAATTCATGAGTAGAGCTGTAGCTAAGTGCGGATTGGTTCAGCGTACACCTGAAGTACGCAATATGGCATAATGGGATTAGGCGAATAAAAAACTTCGTTTTGGCTTCTAGACCACAGCTTTTGGTGGTGTAAATATGGTAGAGTTATACCACCAGATGGAGGTTAATGAGAGAAGATCGGATCAAAAACGAATTCCTCTCTATTTGTCATACCAAAATACACACGAAAATGTCCTTACTAACCACTCAACAAACAGGTAGTGAACGATCTTAGAATGAGCATATTAAATTTCTTAGTGGAAGCGAATAATGAATAACTGCGGGAATCTTCATCTGGGAAATATATAGTTCTTAGCGTTAACAAGGCATTAAAACGACTGAGATAAAATTGTATTCCTACTTGTTGATGAAAAATGGACTGTTTTGGCGTCTATAGCAAGAAAATGTAGTTCTCCTAAAGTACAATTCACTGCTTTAAAGTACTTTACGGTAGTCCCTCATTTATTTATTGTTACCATCTCCCTTAGTTGTGAAACCTAAAATGGTTTACTTGAATCGCTGCCTAATCTAATTACGGTCTGAGAACACTCCATAAGGGTGTGATTTGAAGCAATCATTCGGATTTTACCCAGTAGGACTACGCAGTCATTGTAAAACCTTGGGACACAAAGAGAGACAGGGTGCAAAAGCACATAATGTTTGTAGCTAGCATCTCAGCAGCACAAAAACATCTAATTAGAGTGCTTTTATAAAAATGAAAAATAAAAACATTTTAAAACATTAAGTGCTAGTCGTCAAAAATTTTATGCTAATGCAACTGAAGGGCAAAGTTAATAACTTACGATCAACTTTATTAGCTCCGGTGACTTGAAATGCAACGGCATCATGCAAAAGGTTCTCAAACCCCTCAATTTCATCGAAGAGTTGGTTTAACTCCTCCAGTTTTCCCTTGGTTCCTCCAGTAGAGGACTAAAGCAGAGTCTTTAGGGACAATAAACAACTTCAAACCTCTCTTGCATGACGCTTAATTCTTTCTGGTTGACTGATGGCATCCTTCTTCCGCGACATTGTTCGTGTTGGCTGATACCGTGGTTTAGACTGCTTGTTCACTCGCCTAGCATTTCAAAGAAGGTAAAAAAAGTACCACCTACTTTGCGTTATCCGCACCCTCATTAACAATATCAATGACCCAATGAAGAATACGTTTATCGCTCAGACTGAAAATGTGCACCTCGTTTGGAGCTTCGCCATCGGTAACGGTACGGGCAAGGAAGCGAAACACAAAGAGATGGGGGTATTCGGCGCCCTTATGAGTCCAAGAGTACCCATGAACATCATCGATATAGCATAGATCAAAGCACTCTGAGGGATCTCTCTCGCCCTCCACCCGCACTGTAAGGTACTCCCCATCCACAATTCGTAGGTGACATTCAAGCAAGGTTCGATCGGACCGATTGAGCACAGTCTCTAGATTGTACATAATCTCCTTGGTATTAAGCTCGTCATCGTGCTCAAGAAAGCTTGCAATGTGCAGAGCACTAACCTCTTCATCCATGCTTAGGTTTTCCTTCAAGGAAAAGGAATTATACAAAATTGCATCATTTAAATGAACAGTTGCATAAAGTACTTCCTAATTAACAGCTCAAAAAACAAAGCTAGGTGTTATACGTGCACCATTCTTTAATTTCCGAAAAAAATGTTGCATAATTTTAGGATATAGTTGATCCAAAAAATTCGAATACAGACTTGAAAAGTTACTCAATTCATTCAACTATACCAGCCACAAGCTTTAAAATACCCAACCAGTCCTATTTTACACATTGCTGTTAGCTACAAAACATGTGTCGATGCAATCATGCTAAGTAAAATCTTGGCATTTATTTGGATAAATAGGATGTCGTCGAGGTTAAACGTATAAAATGCAGCAGTTAACACATCGGACTTCCAAAAATGAAGTGCATCCCTTACTTACTGACTAAAATGTAGTGCAAGATTCGGATTAGCGTCCAAGTTGTCTAGAGCAAGTATTACCGCTACCTTCTAAAACGGTAGGGTGTGTTTCAAGGTAGATTACTGACATAATTTATATAGCTAAACAAAACCCGATCTTTAAAACAAACTTTTAGGTGGTCTGATTTTGCATTTAAAACAAGCTTTAATTAGCCACGCAACAATACCAGTCCATAAAAAGGGGTGTTGTGATAATACACCAATTATTTGGTGTGGGAACTGGAAATCGGAGTAGAAGCCCTTAATAAACAGGGTACTCTTACTTGTTCAACTCTTTTTTAAAAAGAAAATGCGTTTATCAGATACGCTTTTCAGTGCCTAATTTGTAACAACCACTAACCGGACTTTTTTACATTTAAGCTTGTAAACAATGGGAAAGGCCATCTAAAATGCCATAATTAACTTGAGTTCTACATAATTTAACAACAGTATGATTATTTGAGTGAATGACTTATGAAGCGTTGGCGTAGCGTCCCGAGACTTCCCTGAAGACGAAAGGAGACACAATACTCGGGCAGAATGTACATATTCAGCACAGAGAAGTGTCTGGGCTACTGGCATGACCCGAAGGCCAACCCACCCAGCGAGGTACAAGAAGGTAAATTCAAAGTACAAAATTGGCACCTCACCAATACCGAGGGATAAACCACCATTGTATTACATAGACTCCCTCCTCTTTTGAGCGTCGTCCCCGGCACTCCCCTTGGTCAACCTCCCGCGTCAGCCATTACAATGTAGTCAGTGCTGTAAAGAAACACCCGCAATCCGACCGCCCAGTCACCAAATTAGTGTGCAACTGAGGAGATACTTGACCTCAATGTCACTGATCCCTCCTGGCAGCTTAACTGGATCTGGAGTTTCGTCAGGTTTAGAAACTTGATTCAGGACGGGGAATTGCGCCGGCCATCATGCGTGTCCATAGATGGACGTAGGAACACTGGCCTAAAAGCATATTTGTGTAAGGAAGAACAAGATTTAATACAGGTCCATGGGGGACGGTAGGGAGAGTCTGTAACGAAACTTACAGATGGTTCACAGCTAGTGTCGCTTCAGTTGTTAATAGCTTTTCTGCATAACATGGGACTGGGAGAGGTGCCGAAGGTGGACATCAACATCAACCCTTCTATCAGGGGCCATCACCATTCTCCCATCCGTAGTATATTTACTTTTTCCGCTCCGCTGAAGTTTACCACTCAGCAGTAAAAATCAGGATACATGTCGTTTAAGATCGAGTTCGCTTTCCGCTGCCACCAATGTAGCGTCCCGAGACTGCCCTGGAGACGAAAGAAGACACAATACTCGGGCAGAATATACATATTCAGCACGGAGAAGGTGTCTGGGCTATTGGCATGGCCCAAAAGGCCAGCCCACGCAGCGAGTACAAGAAAGGTAATCCAAAAGTTCAAAAGTGGTGCCTTACCAATACCGAGGGATAAACCACCATTATATTACATTGGTGTCGCATTACTTCTTATGCCCTTCGAATTTATTGCTGCTGTGGTATATATTCGGCCTAACTAGGCTGAACACTTCGACCATTTGGTTCACCTACTGTATCTGGACACTTTTAGCCCTACTTGACATGTACGATTAATTTGACTCTTTCTCCTTCATTTGATAATAAATGGATCATTCGCAACCATCAATATAGTTTACATATTTATCATAATTCCTTCGCAATGCAAGGCAACTTGGTAAAGTGTGGACTAGATGAGTAGCGAAGGGTCCTGCAGTAGCATTACAATGACTTAGCGTAGATTGTTTACAGAGAGTTCGTTTTAAATTTCTTCAAACGCGATCCCCTTAGCGCATTACATTTTAATGTGTTACTTGGATTCACTAATGCAAAGAATTATGATTCCAGTATTTCATGTTAAATCATATTTATCTAAATTTGCAAACTGGTCAGGTGTTTGCCTCGTTGATGTGCCTTCTAGTGTGCCTTGTTTCACGCTCAAGCGATTCACATTAATCGGTAAACTTCGCTACGGACCAGTCATTTCGAAACGCTCAAAACCCTCCGTCTTCTCAGCAGATAGGAAACTTGGTGAGCCCTGACTGCAATTGGGGTTTCTTGCAAAGCGTCTCCTTTTCATTTAGAGGCATTCAGACCAAAAAACCTTTTTTGGATCGTTTTAATCTAGCGAACCAAGTGGACCAAGTCCCAGAAAAGGAGTTTGTCACAAGTAAATCAGATCGTGTGTACTACTGATTCTTAACATTGCACAGCCTCCGAGAGTTCATGTTGCATGCGAAAATGGACTAGTCGACATTGGGTGCTCTAAGTATGACAACCATCCATACTGTCATCGTTCAGACCACTGGGTGTAAATGATAAGCGTCAGACGCCCAGAGATCTGACCATAATAAGGTACGCCAGGCGCCAATAAAGCATTAATCTTTGGCTAGGGCACAGTTACACTGTAAAATTTGCGCTATATTTCAACAAACAAAAGTGGTAGATGTGAAATGTAAGTTCAACCACCTTGCAAGCTGCAGCATGCCAAGAATGTGAAGAAGTTCGCCAAGTAAATAAACCGCCTTGGGCGTTACGAGGAATGGGGCAAGATGCCCCAGCCGTGGTTACCGTTTCCATTCACTGGGTGTGCATTTAACGAAGTAAATGGATATTTCCGTCCCTGGGCTACCAATGATTCGTTATAAATGAATTCTGATCTTGGAGACCACCTTTCACATTAGGTTGGTAAAAGAAGCAGAATGATTCAACAAGGGAAAATATGTAATTAAAATAGTAGCTACAGAACACGAAATCTGATGGCGCTTTGGTTTAGCCACCAGCAAATTGGAATGTCAATCTGCGGAAGGCATTGTCTTCAGCATCTCGAAGGCTGCTTTTTCCAACTCCTCACTAAAAAGGGTAATTGGAAGGTTTAGCTGAAATCGCCGTTCTGAATTAGTAGACCCTAGATCCCCCCAAAATTTGAGTCCTCGAAAGTTTCTCGATTTGTACTTCCTTTGAGTTCCCGCTAAATAATACATCGTTGGGACACTCTGTGCACTTCTAATTACAGGAAGATCATGGACATTTTAAATACTATAAATACACCAGGATGGAAACTGTCTGCGTCGCCGTTAGAGTGACAGTAGTCAAGTCCGTACACGCCACATCGCCCTGCTTACGCACACACGTCGGGCTAATAAAGACGCCCGCCCTGACGTCTTTGTGCGCCGGTTCTTCTAAGAAATTGGCAAGAGTGGAAATCAAGAGATATCCTAGAAAGCTCGGGGGATCACACTTCAAAAAGAGACTTCTGTAACGTTAAAAAGGGGAATAATATTCTGAGGTTAGTGGTAGCCTCAGCAACAGCAAAACCACGGTTTGTGGCCGTGACCTAGGCATGCATGGCTAGAATCAATCACGTGGACGGAAAGACAGTGTTAGTTTCACAAAACAATTTGACGTAAGAATGGGCAATCTTTCCATCTGAATGGATCAAAATGTTTTTTAGTCACTCCTTACACCGACGGAACGCACTCTGACCATGCTCTCTATACCAGCCTCCCAGTTTTTTCGCACACTTGCAATAAACAGCTTTTGTGTTTTACATTTCCTTGCCGCCTTTGGGAGAAATTGGAGCTCTGAAATTCCATAAGTTTGTAAAAGTGGACCTTTTTGGCGCCTAAATTATTGGCTCCAATTAGCTCTGCTATTGATCTCCCAGTCCTCTCCCTCTCCTTTGTTATAACTATTGAAGAAGGAGTTATTTGAATGTCACAGAACAACTCACCGGAAGCCTGGGTGTGCGATGCCGATGAGAGCATGAGCACGCTGACGAAGGTTCTTGCCGAAGAGGTAGGCGATACCATGCTCTGTGACGATGTAACGAACGAGGGCGCGTGAGCAGAGGACCGCAGAGCCACGCGTCAGGAAGGGCCGAATGGCACTCTTGCCGTCTGGCGTGAGCGAACGCATGCACAAGATCGGCTTCCCACCTTCCGACCAACTTGCGCCTCGAATAAAATCCTCCTGCCCACCCACGCCTTTATAAGACGGGCAGGGAACACATGAGACGGCAGTTTAATCCCATTGGAGTTTTATGCTATGAAATACGATCAGTTAGCAGGCTGCCCACTATTAGTGCCATAAGATTGGATTTTTCAAAGAACCCACAAAAGAAGATGAGCTTCTTCGAAAAATTACATCAGCAGGTGGTATCTTAATTCTACAGGAGGAGAAATAACAAGTTCATTTCAAAAAACATCCGATAGACAAAGAGGAATTGTAAATACTGGAAGACTGCTAACCAGGACTACTTTTTACTGCACACATATAGGTATGCAGAGTAGACAGATCTCAGTCCCATCCGTTGTTTGATCTTAATTAGGTAAAAAATTGCGTCTGCAGATCACTACACATCTGCATGCACAAAGTATACGTGGTCTCGTAGAAATGAAGCGGCACATGCCTTTGGAGCAGGAGTAGTGGGTGGATTGTTGGATGATGACTGCTGGTTCGCCTAACAAACGTTACACTACAAAAGCTACTTCTCACTACAAACTGCTCGCTCAAGCCGTATTTTTATGGCGCAGGTGCGGTAAGCTGAGAACAGCGCAGGTGCCAGTATCATGCAAATTTCGGATAAACGCTAATAGAAAGGCCGTGCAAAAATAAAACAAGTCCACAAAAGCACTAACCCACATTCATTCGCGATATTTTTGCTCAGACTAGCGAAATAATCATTCTCAAGGGAAAGGGAATTTCAGACTCGATGGATATGAACTAATTTATAAATTAAGACCGTGTTCGGTGAAATTATTCATACCCTAAAGCGGCAAAAAAAATTATTTACGAACACCTCGGAAGTGATTTGCTTTTATACTCTCGGTTAGAATGGTATTAATCTCAAAAATACCTTTCCACTCCTAGGATTCAAATGAAATAATAAGTAAGGGAAATAGTTTTCATTCCCAAATATGCGGCCATGATTAACCATTGTGTCATTTTAACAATCAGAACTGCAAGTTTCTTTCTGTAGTCAAATGATACTGAAAGCTTATTATTTAATGAAACAACACTCCCAAGTTGTTTGCAATAATGACAGGGGATTAATGAAAAACTTAGCGGAATCTATCCCATCCATCCTTTAAAAAACTAAAAAAACTGACACCTACGTATAGTTCATAAAACATATTCAAACCCCCCTAGTCCCAGACGGTATTATTTACTGACTGATGAACAAAAGAAAAACGATCTGTCAACATAATTCTTATTCTAAAACTTTGACCAACCTGAGTAGACTTTTGTTCCAAAACATGAGGAGACAGTCTGCCCAGTGAGATCCACTTCCAAACAGCTATTCACGGCAGCAACATTTGGATTTCGAGCAATCACCTCTGGCGCATTCGTCCATGCGATGTCGCAGAGATCTAACGAGAGAAAAAGAGGTTAATCAGAATGCATTAAGATCTGTTCCCATGGTGAATATTTAATCAGAGACCAGGAGGAGACTTACTGACAGAGGAGTTTTCGTGAATAAAATCAAACATCTCCTTCTTGCCAACAGCGAAACTGGCAACAATGCGACCACGACGGACATTCTTCATGGAATTAGAGATGCATCCTGCGTGCCACAGATCTGTCACTTCGGATGAAAGCATATCGGTGTGAATTCCGAGGTTTTTGTGGTTCTTAAGATGGCGACTAGTAGCACAAGGAATTCGACCTATGCCTGTGTACAAAAAAGGGATATACTTCCTTAACAATTGTAAATTTCCAGAGAAAACTGGAATAAATTACCAAATTGGCAAGTATCACCATCTTGGATCAGGTTTTCAGCAATAATCTTTCCGATTTTTAAATCCACCTCTGCAATTTCTGGAATCTCAAATTCCTGCAGAGGGGAGGCACTGTGAAATATGTAGTCCAATTTGCTTATATGCACCGTGGTGTCACCAAATGTAGTCGGAGTGTTGGGATTAATTTGTGCTAAGCAGGAAAATTAGAAGAAACATAATGAAAGACCTACCAACAACAATCTTGGAGTTCTGAATGGCAGCACGATTAATATCAACACCACCACAGAGGCAGCAGAAGCCATGCTGGTTTGGTGGACTGACTTGAATGAGAGTTAAATCCAAGTTGAATTGGCGTCTTCGATAAAGGTGAGGAATTTCACTAAGTGAAATCGGGACAAAATCGGCTTCACCATTGTTTATTGCATCACGACAAGAACGAGCTAGAATATTACTAATTAAGCACGCTTACTGGCAAAAAGGTTATTAATCCGGATAAACTTTTTGCACTCTGGTTCCAAGACGGAGAGCTCACCTCTAGGAAAAAACTGATGAAGAGTAATACCCTCCAAGCCATGCTCAACAACATAATTTTTTAACTCTTTTAATAATTCATGTGGTGTCCCAACACCTCCTTGAACGAAAATATTGGCATCTAAGGCATACGTAAGAGAGTTTTAACGATACTTTCGCCTAACTCTGAAAACATATCTTCACCACTACATGCCCATTTAGGATATTTTCCTGGATTCATTGAGGATGGCTCCGTTAGATTTGGAGTAACTTGGCTTCTTGCTCCGTAGAAGGTACGAATAAAAGAACGACCGAGTGGTAGTCCGCGCGTAAAAATGCGCAACATCCTACAGCATTCGTTTAGAGCGGCAATTTGCATGTGAAATAACCTTGAGTGCTTAAGGTTGCTCAAAATATTATGAAAAGTAGAGTAATATCAGTTATTAAAAATGGCACATATGCAGTGTAATGCAATAGAAATCTGGTAGCCACTCAAATATCGCAAGTCAATGAATGGAGCTTCATAGTCATCTATGTTACTTTTGACATGTTTCAATTAAATGCCAAGAGCGCTCTATATTGCTTCATTTTGACTTGTTAATAATTTTTCAACCTTTTTAAAGGGTACATGTCTTTGAAAACACTCAATAACAACCATAAGCATTGTTCATTCCTTTGTAAAATATGCTTGTGAAACAGCTGTGTTCAAATAAAATGCTTTTAAGACGCAGCAGCACCTTTATTTATACATTGCGATTTAATTTATCTAATTATAGGTCCACACGAATTGCCTGAGTCAACTTTGAAGTAGTAAGGGGTCACAGTAACATGGCAGAGAGGCTACTGGCATGGTGTGGGTGCCATGTCGTCGAGCATAAGTGCAATCCGCGTAACCAAACGCAGAATTACACGAGTTGACAAAGCCTTCCATGACTACGTATGCTCACAATTCTTTGCGGGTTGAATTCGCCCTCAGTGGCATGGCCCTTTGGCAACGGTGTAAGTAGTAGTCGAATCCGATTCAAAAGAAAAAAATAGCTCAATTTCTTTGGTTAGCTGTTGAACCTAAACTCCCT